TTAGTATGTATGCTAAGTGTTTACTAACCACGGTGGACCTTTAAGTATATTAATATATATATATAATAGATGTATAGTATAGGGTCCAAGTCCTTGGATGCCTAGTGGGGGTCTTTCAAACCGATTGGTCTGACCCTATCGATAGACACCAGTGATCAGATCTTGAACCCGGTTAGTATGGCAAGTCTTTGGTCCAAACCAGCCCTGAAAACCTTACTCCTTGAGTAGTGAGTAGTGGTTGCATGACCAGTTCTGGACCTGGCCTCGAAACGCCCATGACCAACTCGGTTCCTCCAAACGTGCCCTTCCAGGTGTCCATTTCAGAAGGAGAACCCCAGGTCATCTTCGCCTGGCAGCCGTTGATGGGTCACCAACGTTCCTCCTTCGGACGGAACCTGGCGCCTTCAATGGAGACCTTTGGAACCAAGTCAGGTGGGGAGTTTGGCCGTCTGATCGTTCGAAGAAGAGGGTCACGTGTCTCCATGACCGGCTTGAAGGGCGCGCGGAGACATGCCCGGCTTGGTCCCTTAAGAGAACCGATGGCTGCTACGCTTCTAGGTTCTTATTCTGCTGTGAAAGAGGGATCCTGAACCAAGAAATGGGCTTGAGATGATGAGACATGGACTTGGGCATGATTGACAAATCCCTGGCAAAGCCATAGATTACCCCCCACAAAAGAAACAAACACAGGCGGACTTAACAACTTCCTACAGCTGTGCGAACTCGTCACACATGACTAGGTCCAGATTGCATCGCACTGGAGTCCAAGCAGCATCTACAGATTTTCACTCGGAATGGACGCATGAGGCTTGTGCGCTTGGTGGACTCGGGAGAACGGGTTTTGCTGGAGATGTCTGGAGAAGTGGTTTTGAAGCCTGACCTCGACCTAGCTGACACATTAGAGATTGAAGTCAAGGATCCTGAGCTGCGTGCTTTTGGGACCTATTCCAGACGCTATGTGCTTAGCTTCCTGCCGGTGGTGTTCATTTGGCATGTGATCAAATGGTCAGTTTCTATGAAATTTGAACTAATGTCAGATGGAGAGAGTCCATGGTGGCGCGGCCTTCTGATGCTTGTGAATGGCTTTTTCTTCTGCGCAGGAGGCCTGTGGAAGAATTGTGCTGCTAGCTTGACAGGGGAAACCGATCTCAACCTGACGCACAAGACTTTTTGTTGCCTTTGTGTTGCGCTGGTGGTTATGGTAGTCGCTGGAGCAAATGTTGCTCAGTTGCCAACCACAATACTTGGTGGAAGTGCTCTTTTCCTCTCCGGCACACCTCTACAATATTTCCAGACACGGGCCAAGTATCCTGAGCGGCGGTTTACATCCTGCATGCTTTGGGCCCTGGCAAACTTCAGCTCAACTATAGGCGTCGGTGTCATCTTGATCGTTATTGTGGTGACTTACAGGTTGCTGCTGTCAGCGGGACAGCCGGTGGCGGCAAACTTGTTCTTGCCGATTTCAACTGCATTGACAGAAAGTCTCATGGTTAGCTACATCAGGCTTTTGTACACGAAGTTGGTGGTTGACAAGCGCCCCTTGGTTCCTGGAGATATCTCTTATGTGGCACTGCCCTTCATGCTCACGGCTGCTCATGGATTGACAGAGGGTGCTCGGGTCACAGGGGTCTTCGCGGGGGCTGTGACATCTGGTAGCTTGGGTTTCAAAAGAAAAAGTGATTTGATCTTAGATCAAAACAACATCAATTGCTTTTTTGATGTCTCGAATTGGAGAATAACATACAGATGTGCAGCATCTTGTGGTGATCAAATGGACGTTTCAAAGAGAAAGTTCCAAGTGACCAAAAGTCGCAGTCGATGTGTGCGTGATCCTGAGTGTGTAAGAGATCAGTCAGGGGTAAAGCTCTAACCGCGGGCCGTGGCAGGATGCGAGACGTGTGCACCGTGTGCGGGCCGTGAAACCCGTGCTTCTTCTGATGCAGGTTTGCATCGCCCTGCGCTGTTTGTGAACCAAATCTGAAGATGCGAAACGACCGAGCAGCGATTCCGAGGGATCTAGAGGGTGGTCGCCGGGCGGCGCGAACCGATGTCCGATCCAAGGCTAGGAGGGTGGTCGCCTGCACAGTTCTATGAGGGTCTTGGAACCGACCTCTGAACGGTTTGGCAGACTGTAGAAGGTTCAGTCCGTCGCTGTCGCGTTTTATTCTTTAGGGCACGCGTTGTCAGGGTAGCACAAGGGTGCAGTCTGTCGCCCATGCGGGAATGGAGTCGGAGAATTCTGAAGGCCTTGTTCGGGCTGTGCGCATGAAGTATCTAAGTAGCCAAAGCTAATTAAAGCTCCTGTAGACAGTGTGTGTGTATGTGGCGCTGTGCAATGGCCAAATGATGTGGCGCATTGTGGGGCGGTTGTACTAGGCTTCTGCGTGCACGCGGCCATGGGAAACAAAGTATCAGTGAGCACGCGACCTCCCAATTTATATAACCCAGGCATGAATATCCAAAAAGGTTATAGAAAGGATTAAATTAATGATCAGGATCAACCAAAAGATTCAGGATACAAAGTGTTATGAATAAGGAGGAAAGGAAGCAAGGAGGGAAAGCAGGATTTTAACCCATGAGCCTTCTTTTCCAACCGTCCCACACACCTTGCGCTTCAAACTTCAAGCCCTACTGTTTCTTGACATCATACTCTCTTGCACTTCCTGGCAGTGAATCTTTTTTTTGCCGCGGTTGGCTTTGTGGGCTGCTGTTCCTCACAACATCTGCACAAAGCCAACAGCCTGCCACGAAATCAACTTGTTAGGTGGAACCGTGCTCTATGTTCCATTTCGGCGGCTGTAGAACAACTTTCTGCAGTCGTAGTCTGGCTTTAGATGTGCGAGACGAACACACTTTAGATGGATGATCTCTAAAGAGCAAAGTTTCTTTCTGTGTTGATCTCGCGGAGCATTAGCACTTTACACTTTACTGCATCGTCGCCGAGTGCAGTAGCCCTTTACTGCAAAACACTGAATGAGACAGCGCAATACGTAGAGATTCAATGATTTCAACATTGCACGTACAAAGGGATGATCAGTCCCTGCTTCCCACTCTCATCCACATCATTGTGTGTGGTAGCCACGCGCCCCTGCTGAGTCTGAACAAAACTGATGGTTACCAAATAGGTAGTAGTGCATAGTAGCGAGTAGAATCCCTAGAGACGGGAGTTGACACGCTTAGATCATGGCTCGCAAGAGCTGTATCAGTTGCGACATCCCCGAGAGCTAGTTACTGATTACATTAGACC